CCGTAGTTACCCTGGTTTGGCACTTTTGTTTTGTTGGGGCTGGATTTCGGGGACGAAATCCCTTTAAGGTGGAAAGGTTGTAATGACCTAGTCATTTTCTTTCCTTTCCTTTTCTCTGATTTTCACGGATATTTTTTTTCCGTTGATCTTTTCCTTTTTAAGTTCAATTTCTCGTCATTTAGTGTCATCTTGAGTGCTCGGGGATGGTTTCCGAGACTCTTTTCCTTGGATTGATGACTTCCTTTCAGGACCGAGTCATTTCCACATTTTCACTTTTATGACACTATTCACTTTTCGTCTTTTTCCCATTTGTCACTTTGTTCGCACAACCTCATTTTTCGTGTTCGAATTTGATTCTGGTTTTTGTATGCATCCCCGATATTAAAATTCCATGCTATGTGTATTTCTACTTTCTTAGAAAAGCATGCTAGGGGTGTACTTTCTTCCTTAGGGGTATGGATGCACACTTCTTTAGAATTTTTCTTTCTTTTGGGGTTTTTGTTTAATTACCATAAGTAATTATTTTTCGTCTTAGGGACTATTTTGTAATTTAATTTGGAAAATGTTTTCAAAAAGGACCTTTTTGTAATTTTTGGAAAGTGTGACAAGTGTCACACTCTCATTCGTCCATTTGTTGATATTTGTGTGGGCACACTTAGATGCCTTGGATGATAACATGCAGTGGGTGGAGATTCAACCACTTGTTGACCTAGGATAGGTGCACTTGTTGGCTTGGATGATTGACAAGTGTAGGATTAGGATTAAACCAACAATGGATACTTGGATGAGTGACAAGTGTATGCTCTAAATTAAATCTTGCAATTATTTTTGGGCTACTTTGGGATTATGTTGTTAAAGAGGGGTTTTTGTGTAATTGTCCATAGATGTGTGTGTTAACCATGGTGTAGGATCACATAGTGGGGGATTTTTATTTCCTCTGCTCACACTTTTTCACATTATGTCATTATCTTCCTTACCACAAACCCTAGCCACTGTTAGAGAAGCTTGATGCTTAGGCATTGGCTTTGATTTTTGAGAACCTGCCATTGATTTCCAAGCTTAACCTTAGGAATACTTTTTGTTCCCCTCATCCTCCTCTTCATAACCCTTGAAGGGTTTACCTTTTTGTGTTGATTTGCCTTGGATTCTAGAGAGACACTTCTCTAGTGAGGTAGGGGGTGTTATAGTTTATTATCTAAGGGTTTTTCATGCTTTTGTTTGAAATATAAGTTGTATGCATATCTTTGTTAATTTGAGAAGTTAATGATTTACCATAGCTTGCATATAACTCATTTTAGACTTGGTATATGGCATGGCCAGGACTTGATCTTTGTTATATATTAAATAGGGATGATTTAAATGAGTTTTCAAATCTAGAGATTTAATGAATTTAATTTGATTTAAATTGTAGTTAATTATGTTTTACTTGTATTCTATTTTAGACTTGATATATGGTATAACCATGACTTAGTGCTTGTTATATATTAATTTGGGTTCATTTGAATAACTTTTGAAATCTAGAGATTTAATTAATTAAGATTAATAAAATTCTATATGATGATATCTTGCTTATCTTGTATTTTTGATTTGATATTTGTAATGACCATGCTGTATTGTTTAACATATATTAATTTGAGGTTATTTGGAATTGATTTGAAATCTAGAGCATTTAATTATTTTTGTTTAATTAAATTCTATCTAATTGTTTCATAGATTTAATTATGTTGTAGAAGTTGTTTCTATGTTTAAATCATGGATGTTGGACTTGTTATGTATTCACTTGGTGGCGTTTTAAGCATTGCATAACATTGTTGTTAAATTTATATTCTTCTGAATTTGTTTCTAATATTGAATATATGATTGACTTGTGTAATAAATTGAACACTTTCCATTTGACATTATATATGCCATTTTAGAATTGAAACTCTAAGACATGGATTGTGTGGTTTCAACCTACTTGTGCATGGAAGTTGATTTCGTGCATTATATGAATTATGTATAAGTTGTGAACTTATTTGGATTATTTTGGAGTCTTGGGACATTGTTACAGGTGACATGGCTAGAGTTTGGCTCTAGTATGGGAGGTATGAGTTCTTCCTATTTTATAGTACGTACTAGGGTGGTCTTCCCAATGGGTTAATGCCCGGAATAACTGTAGGTCTTGGCTTTATCCAGGGCATGATGTCCAAGTCTTCCACTATTTGATTTCATATTTAATTCCAAGTTGACAATCATGTTTAATTGTGACTTGTGGTTTTGGTTATTGGCGATTTAATGTTGTTAAGTACATTGGTGCAATATGATTTTTAAGGAATCATTACATGTTTTTAATGTTGTTAAGTACATTGGTGCATTATGATTTTTAAGGAATCATCATATGTTTTTAATGTTGTTAAGTATATTTATGCATTATAATTTGTAAGGAATTATCACATGTCTTTGATGTTGTTAAGTACATTTATGATAAAATGTTCAAATGTAGCTTATGAATGATCCTATAGATTCATTTGGAACATAGACGTTAGGTGGCGTGACCCACTTTTGTTGTTTTTGTATTTTAGATTTCAAGTTGATAACTTTGAGAATCTATATCTTGTTCCTTTGTATAGCATGTTCTTATGTTGTTTAGAATTGCATGAAGGATGCGATTTATGCTAGAAATGATCTAATGTAGCTTAGGATGCTCCCTGAGTCTCATCTTTAACATAGACGTTAGGTGGCATGATCCTTTTGAATTGTTTCACCTTAAGGTGATATTCTTGTAAAATGTTAAGTCTATGCATGCTCATCTCCTACGAGTAGCTTTATGTTGCTCACCCTAAAGTTTTCGGGGTATTTTTTAGGTACAGGAATCAAGGTTCGATATTCTTATTATGCTTGGATGATTTGTAGACTTGAAGTTTTTAATTCTTGTAAAGGTTGGCTTCAAATGCCACTTGTAGCCTTTTTTGTCAAAATGTGTATTTTTTATTCTAAACATGTAGTGTGTACATGAGTACACTCTTTACAATGTATTTGACATGTATGAGATGAGGCCGGAGGCCAATGACATGTATTTTGTCTCCTATGCATTTTCACTTTCATGAAATATTATGAAAATATTGAAAAATGTCAAGTCATTGCTTCACCATGTTATCATCGGGTGTGGGAATTATATTTTGATTCTTTCATAGGGTCTCATTAATCATGTATGAAGTCTGACCAAGGGCCAAACGGTAATTTCCAATCATTTGTTAATTTTTGTTTTGAAAATTTTCATTTCATGTGCATATTCGCCTTTTTGGTAGTCAGGGGGTCGGATTTTGCATCGGTCATTTTTGGGAGCCACGGATCATTCCCGTGTGCTCAAAACCACTTATTACGTTTGTGTACGTATTTGTTTCAGCCTAGTAATGCATTTGGGGTCAAATGCATACTTGGTACAAAGTCGCATTTTCGCCCTTTTGAGCCTAATCTGATCTAGGGGCATTCTAGACATTTTACAGCAAGTTCTTTTTGTTTCTGTTCATAATGTCAAGTAGAAAACATGATTTTTGGGTTGGTTTATGCTGACCTTGAATCAAAGGTTTTTGATGATCATAATTCATTAATGATGTTCTATGATTACTAATGTCTTTTTGAGTGAAATTACAGAGCAAAGCATTCATCAAAACAAGCACTACAATACAAGGACAAAACTGAAGAAGCAACACCAAGGAATGAGCAAAGGACTAAGCAATCAAAAGTCAAAGTCAAGTCATCACAAGACATCAAAATGGGGTTAGCTAGGTTGGTGAGTTTCTTAGGAAGCTTTGTTAAAGTGTATATGAACATCTTGAAGCTCAAACTCTCCAACATTATGCATATCATCTCATTCACTATGACTAAGGAACAAAGGACTTAAGCATATCCTTATCTAAAAATGAACCAAGAGTTAGGATCAAAGCTTCAAGTTATTTCGGTCTACCAAAATAAATCATTGTTTCATTTCAATCTACCGAAATGAATATACAAATCCAACTAATAGTTATTTCGGTCGACCGAAATAACTGAGAGATCACTTCGGTCTACCGAACCTAGAGTACTGAGAGTATGATATTCAAGCTTGAATCATTTCAGTCGACCAAAACAAAATGAGGCTTTACTTCGGTTTACCGAAACAAGAGTACTGAGAGTATGATATTCAAGCTTGAATCATTTCGGTCGACTGAAACAAAACGAGGCTTTACTTCGGTCTACCGAAACTGCGTGTTTCAAAATTCAAACGGGCATTTTATTCTTGGGATGTGTGTCCAACAGCTATAACATTATCAGACATGTCTGAAAGTCTATAAAAACACTTCAGAACTTCATTGAAAAGTTGTTGCGTACATTGAGAAAGAAAGTCTTGCAATCATAAAGCTTTTATCATACACACACACTTCATTTTCATCAAAAGAGTATTGAGCTTCAAGTTATTCATACATACTCTAGAGCGAGCTAAATCTTGTACTTCAGATTTGAGAGAGAGATCATCTTGTATTCCATTAATATACTTCAAAACTTGTAAGGGTTGGTATGGCCCAAGGAAGGCTAAGAGAAGCTGTTTCTCTTAGCACTTAGAAGCTAGGAAGAGTTTCTTGTAAGAGGTTTGCTCTCTACCCGCAAGGAGAAGCCATAGTGAATTGGGAAGTCTCAAGAGTGGTCTTGAGCCGAGGAGTAGGAGTTTCCAAACCTCACTAAAAATCATTGAGTACATGTTTGCAACTTCTATCTCTATCTCTATACTTATTGCTTTATGTATGTCTTAATATGCCTCTTCATTAATGCTGACTATTGAAGCTTAAAATTCAGATTGCATCATTCATTATCTGTCAAAGAAATTGAGTTTGTCTTTAATTAATATTTTAAGATCGAAAATTGACCATAGTTTGCATAGACTCTATTCACCCCCCCCCCCCTCTAGAGTCTAAACTTGGGCAACAATTGGTATCATAGCTAGGTCTCTATTAGAAAAGCTTTAAGTGTTTTAGAGATCAATCATGGCAAACTTAAATGGTCACCTTCTTCAAGAAGGTCAGTCCAATACTAGACCCCCTTGGTTCTATGGAACAAATTATGGCTATTAGAAAAATAGAATGATAGATTTCCTCCAATCCGTAGACTATCAAATCTGGTTAGTTATTATTAATGGACCCTTTGTTCCAATGAAAGGATTTGGTGCTGAAAGGGTCCTTAAAACTAAAGCTGAATGGAATACAGAGGACTATAAACTTATCTCCTTGAATGCCAAGGCCAAAGTTAGTCTAAATTGTGCTATAAGTCCTAGTGAATATAATAGAGTCTCTACTTGTACCATAGCTAAAGAAATCTGAGATAAACTTCAGATTACTTGTGAAGGAACCTCACAGGTCAAGGAATCTAAAATTGACATTCTTATGCATCAATATGAATTGTTTCATATGAATGAAGATGAGACTATTAGTGCAATGTTTGTGAGATTTACAGACATCATTAATGGCTTGAAACATCTTGGCAGAACTATGACTAACTCTGATCTTGCAAGGAAAATTCTAAGAAGCCTACCCCAAAAATGGGATGCAAAAGCAACGGCAATCAAAGAAGCTCACAATCTCAACACACTTGAATTGGATGAACTTCTCAGCTCTCTTCTCACATAGGAAATCACTCTAAAAGATAGAGAAGGAGATCATCATCGAAAGAAGGAAATTGCTCTCAAAGTATCTTTAAGAGAAAAGGAAGTTGTCGACAACGAAAGTGAAGACGATGATGATCATCACTCATTCCTTCAAAAGATTTCTTCATAGGAAGAAATTCAACAAGGGAAGGTTCAAAAAGGGAGAATCATCTAATGAGCAAGGCAAATGTGATACCTCTACCTGTTTTCACTGTGGAAAACCGGGACACTTTAAAGCTGATTGTCATGCCTACAAAGAGGAAAAGAAAAAGAGAAGAGCAATGCAAGCCACTTGGGAAGATGACGACTCAAATGGATCCAAAAGTCATGAGGAAAAGGCAATTCTTTGTCTCATGGCAAATAGGGATGAGGTAAACTCAAATTATGAATCTTCCTCTGAATGTGAAATGTCTTATGATGACTTAGTTGATGCATATAATGGATTACTTGATGGTTTTAAAGAATTACAAGACGAACTAGGTAAAATGGTCAAAAAATGTGCTTCTCAAAGAAGAGAGAAACTTATCATTGAAAACAAAATTCAAAATCTTCTTAATGAAAATGAGTGCTTGAAAAAGGAATGCACCTTGCTTAAAGAAACAGGATCTCCTGAGCTCATCTTTGAAAATGCTTCCTTAAAGTTAGTTATTGAAAACCAAATTGATGATCTAGCAAAGTTAACTCAAGGTACCAAAAATCTAGAACTTATGCTAGGTGCTCAAAGAAGTTTATTTAATAAAAACGGGTTAGGTTATGACCCTTTTGACAAGAAAGCATGTCTATTGAATAAGAGAGAGCCTTTGACCAACTACTTTGTTAAAAGCAAAAGTAAAAGTTCTAGATGTAATTATTGTAAAAGAATAGGTCATCTTATTCAAGAATGCTCAAAGAGAAAGCTAAAGTTCATAAAGAAGTGGGTTCTTAAAGGAACATATATGCTCTTAGCTAACTCCCATGGACCCAACAAGATTTGGGTACCAAGTGAAAATGTTTGAAATCTCTTTTGTAGGATGGTTTCAAAGTCTCCACATCTTCCAAGGACAAATGGTTTCTAGATAGTGGATGTTCAAGGCATATGACGGGAGACCACACAAAATTCTCCTCTCTAGAAGCATACAATGGAGGAAGTGTTACATTTGGAGATAACTCTAAAGGCAAGGTAATTGGCATTGGGAGCATAGGTATTTCTCCTTCCTTATCATTGAACATGTCTTACTCGTTGAGGATCTAAAGCATAATCTATTTAGTGTTAGTCAACTTTGTGATAATGGAATTGATGTGACTTTTAAATCGGATAAATGCATTGTTAAAAGAAATGAATCCCAAATATTTTATGCTCCTAGAAGTGGTAATGTATATACCTTGCTCTTAGGTGAACTTCAAGAACAAGATGTTAAATGTTTCATGTCATCCAATGAACATAGTTGGTTGTGGTATAGAAGGTTAGGTCATGCAAGCATGGATTTAATTTCAAGATTGTCTAAAAATGAATTAATCAAAGGTCTCCCCAAGACAAATTTTTCAAAATACAAAACGTGTAGTGCTTGCCAAATTGGTAAACAAATCAAGTCTTCTTTCAAAAGAAAAAAGGACATAACCACTTCAAAACCACTTGAATTGCTCCACATGGATCTTTTTGGACCGGAGAAAATTGCTAGCCTTGGTGGTAAAATCTATGTCTTTGTGATCATAGATGACTACTCTAGATTCACTTGGGTATTTTTTCTTGCATGCAAAAATGAGGCTCATTCAATTCTTTCAAAATTTTGCAAAAGAGTCGAAAATGAAAAGGAATATAAAATTAAATCCATTAGAAGTGATAAGGGTAGAGAGTTTGACAACCAAGACGTTGAAAGGTTTTGCGACGAAAATGGCTACAATCACAATCTTTTGGCACCTAGGACTCCCTAACAAAATGGTATTGTTGAAATGAAAAATAGATCTCTTCAAGAAATGGCTAGAACCATGCTTAATGAGCATAAATCACCTAGATCTCTATGGGCCGAAGCCGTAAATACTTCATGCTATGTTATAAATAGAGTTGTCATTAGAAAGATTCTCAACAAAACACCCTATGAGTTATGGAACAAAAGAAAACCTAATATAGGCTATTTCAAAGTTTTTGGGTGTAAATGCTTTGTCCTCAATGACAAGGATAATCAAGGAAAGTTTGATGCTAAATCTGATGAAGGCATTTTTCTTGGATATTCCTCTAGAAGTAAAGCATATAGAGTTTATAACAAGAGGACCTTAGTTGTGGTTGAATCAATACACGTTGTGTTTAATGAATCCCCAAACTCTCCCACAAAAAGTGTGATGGTCAATGATGAAGAAGTTGAACTTGAAAAGGGTACCAATGAACTTGATACAAATAGGTCCCCTATAGAGCTTGAGAAGAGTATCAATGATCTCAACATAAATGAGTCTCCTATTGATATCTATCAAAGTTCCAATTCAAGTGATGATACCTCTCAAAACAAAACTGCTCCAAATGAATGGAAGTTAGTATATAATAATCCCATTGACCAAGTCATTGGTGATCCATCCAAAGGTGTCAGCACAAGGTCACAATTAAGAAATGTATGCAATTTCGTGGCATTCGTTTCTCAATTCGAACCTAAAAATATACATGAGGCTGAAAATGATGAATCTTGGCTTTTGGCAATGCAAGAAGAACTCATTCAATTCAAAAGGAACAGGGTTTGGAATCTTGTCCCAAGACCTCAAAATAAAACAATTATTGGGACAAAATATTTTAGAAACAAAAAGGATGAGTCGGGAACTATCATTAGGAACAAGGCTAGACTTGTTGCAAAAGGATATAACCAAGAAGAAGGTATAGAGTATGAGTAGACTTTTGCTCCCGTTGCTAGACTTGAGGCCATAAGAATGCTACTTGCATTTGCATCTTACAAAAATTTCAAATTATTTCATGTAAAAAGTGCTTTCTTAAATGGTTTTATTGATGAAGAAGTATATGTTGAACAACCACCAGGCTTTGAAAGCTACGATTTTCCAAACCATGTTTTTAAATTAACAAAAGCTTTATATGGTTTGAAGCAAGCTCCTAGAGCTTGGTATGAAAGACTTAGTGGGTTCTTACTTACAAGTGGGTTTTGTAGAGGTAAGATTGATAACACACTCTTTACTAAAATCATAAATGGAAATTTGTTGATCATTCAAATTTACGTTGATGACATCATTTTTAGATCAACAAATGACACTCTAAGTAAAGAGTTTGCCTCCTCCATGTAAAACGAGTTTGAAATGAGCATGATGGGTGAACTCAACTTCTTCTTGGGGCTGCAAATCAAACAAACTCTTGATGGAATCTTCATTTCCCAATCAAAGTACACCAAAGATTTACTAAAGAAATTTGGCTCGGAAGATGCCAAACATGCTAAAACTCCCATGTGTTCTTCCTTAAAACTTGATAAGGATGAAAAAGGCAAGGAAGTTGCTATTAAGAAATATAGAGGAATGATCGGAAGTCTTCTTTATTTAACGGGTAGCAGGCCGGACATAATGTTTAGTGTGTGCTTATGTGCTAGGTTTCAATCCTGTCCCAAGGAATCTCATTTGAATGCCGTCAAACGCATTTTTAAATACTTGAATGGTACTATTAACCTTGGTTTATGGTATCTTAGGCACACATCTTTTGAACTCGTAGGATTTACGGATGCCGATTTTGCTGGTTCTAAAGTTGAAAGAAAAAGCACAAGCGGCGTGTGTCACTTTATAGGTCAATCACTTTTTTCTTGGTCATGCAAGAAACAAAATTCAGTTGCATTATCCACCGCTGAAGCTGAATATGTTGTTGTTGGTAGCTATTGTGCACAAATTCTCTATATCAAACAACAGCTAGAAGACTTTGGTTTATTTTTTAACAAAATCCCTATCAAATGTGATAACACCAGCGGCATTTGCATATCAAAGAATCCCATTCAGCACTTTAAAACTAAGTATATTGAGATCAGATATCATTTCTTACGTGATCATGTTTCTAAAGGCGATATTGATCTGATGTTCATCGACACCGAGAATCAATTGGCGGATATTCTCACAAAGCCACTTCAAGAAGATAGGTTTTGCACTCTTTGGCGAGAAATCGGAATGGCTATAGAGAGTGAGATACATAGCAGCAGCTAATCCTCAGAATCAACACTTAAAACTTTGCTCTCAGGATCAGCATTTTGGTAGACCGAAATCATGCTTCGGTCGACCGAAATAAGAATGAAGTTTTCTCTCACCAGCCATTTCGGTCGACCGAACCTTCGGGCCCCATCACATATGGCCTATCTTTGAATGTTAAAGACCCGTGAATCTCATTCTTACCTTCAAACCTCAAAACTCTATCTCTCTCTCTCCCTGAGGTGCCTCTCATCGTGCAAAACTTCCGCGATTTTCCTCCTTCATCCTCTTATACGAATCTCTCACTATCTCTCAAGGTAAGATATACTTTAAACTCTCTCATCTTTTCGTCATATTCTCTCCTGAGTTTTATCATCTCTAATTATCATCTATTTAAAGGACTCATCTACTGAGATTATTAAAACTCCTTTGCTTTATTCTAAGTTAGAAGTGTTTTCCTTCAGTCAATATCATCTTGTTGCATCACTGTAAGATAGATTGAGGTGTTTTCAGTTCTGTTATCACCTCATATTCACTCAAATCTATTAACAGAAATTAAAGGCACCTAGAAAGAATTCTTCTAAATCTGATAAAGAGAAAAGATCTAAGTTCACACATGACATTGAAGCTGGAAGGTCTAACCCCTCAAATCCTGTTCTTTCCGACCCTTACCCTGCTCCAGCTATGCGTCTACTATGTGAGCCTAAGTTAAAAGAAATCTACGAAACCAAGTTTCTCCACAAAATAGTTAAAAAAGGAAATTTTTTTGAGGAACATGACACTGAGGAACTCATCACACATACCTTTTCTCTCTTTAAAGCCATAGGGATAAGTGAATTTGTGTCTATCAAA